TGACGCCGGATTATGGCGTGAAGAATAAAGTCTGCAACTTCCACAGCTGAGCCTGTAATAACAGAGGAAGTCTCAGCGTAGCGTGTCAGGTGGTCAACGACGGTCACTATCCATCGTTTGCCAGCAGATGTGATGGGGAGAAGCCCGTAAAGGTCAACACCTACAACCTCGAAAGGCATTGAAGGGCACGAAAGTGGCTGTAGAGGTCCAGCAGGTGCAGACGTGGGGAGTTTACGACGCTGGCATGGGTAGCAGGAACCGACGTACCGAGCTATACTAGAAGAAAGGCCAGGCCAGTAATAACGACATCGAATGCGGTCAAAAGGTTTTTTAAAAGCAAAATTACCAGCACTCAAGTCGTCGTGGAAGGCTTCGAGCACCTGAAGTCGAAGAGAGCGTGGCAGTGCAGGAACCAAGCGCTGACCGTCAGGGTGGTATATGTGGCGGTAGAGAACCCCATTTTCCAGGTTAAAGTGCAGGAGTTGACGACGGAGTCGCGCGTTGGGTGGATGAGAAACTCCTGAAAGGAGGTCCATCATGCGTCTGCAGTATGAATCGGACCGCTGGCGGGAGATAAATGTTGGCTCGTCGTCGGAAAAGGGTTGCATTATTGATGCGAGCGTATGAACTTTGGTAGATGTGGCGGTTGAGTTCTCACCAACGCTCATATGGGTAGTTGGAAGCGGGCAACGAGATGAAGCATCGGCGTCTTGATGTTTTCTGCCTGACTTGTAAGTTATGTCGAAGTCGTATTCCTGCAAGCGTAGTATCCACCGACCCAAGCGTCCGGACAAGTTCTTCAGTGTAGAGAGCCAGCATAAGGCATTGTGGTCCGTAACAATTGTGAAGTGACGGCTGTGGAGATAGGGACGGAACTTGTGGACCAACTAAACCACAGCCAAACACTCTTGCTCAGTTATAGTGTAGTTCTTTTCAGCAGGGGTGAGTACGCGACTGGCATATGCAACAACTTTCTCTAAGGAAGACTTGTCGCGTTGTAGAAGAACGGCTCCTATACCAGGGCCGCTAGCGTCAGTATGAAGGATAGTCGGTGCGGCTTCGTCAAAGTGGCAGAGCAGAGGTTCAGACGTGAGTGCCCGCTTCAACAGGTCGAATGCCGTTTGACATTCTTGAGACCACAGAAAGGGGACGTTAGAAGCGAGTAGTTGGTGTAACGGAGCAGCAATAGAAGCGAAGTTCTGGATAAATCGGCAAAAATAGGAGGCGAGGCCAAGGAAACTGCGAAGCTCTTTTGCTTTTTCGGGACACGGAAGTCAAGGACTGCAGAAATCTTGTCAGGGTCGGGCCGGATGCCATCTTTGCTAACGACATGTCCCAAGATCTTGATAGATTTGCTAGCGAAAGAGTATTTCTTAGTGTTTATTTGAAGCCCAGCGCCGGCAAGGCATGTCATAACTTGATCTAGTCGTTCTAGGTGCTCAGGAAACGTTGACGAAAAGATAATAATGTCGTCCAGGTAGCAAAGGCAACTTTCCATTTCAGGCCGCGCAGCACGATATCTATCATGCGCTCAAAAGTCGCGGGTGCGTTGCAGAGCCTGAAAGGCATCACGTTGAATTCAGATAGCCCGTCGGGGTTTGCAAACGCCGTTTTCTCCTTATCGTCTTCATGCATGGGGATCTGCAAGTACCCAGAACGCAAGTCGATGCTTGAAAAAATTCCGCGCCTTGTAGGGAATCAAGGGCGTCGTCAATGCGTGGCATAGGGTACACGTCCTTGCGTGTGATCTTATTGAGCGCCCGGTAGTCCACGCAAAAACGCACAAAGCCATCCTTTTTGCGGACCAAAACAATAGGAGACAACCAAGGGCTAGATGAAGGACGGATGACTTCCCGTTTAAGCATGTCCGCAACGTTTTATTCTATAATTTTTCTTTCAGCTAGGGACACGCGGTAGGGTCGGCGGTGTACGATAGATGTCCCAACAGTTTGAATTCGATGGGCTGTAGTATTAGTGCGGCCCAGCTTAGACGAGCAAAAATCGAAAGAATTTGCATGTTTCTGTAACAATGCGAGCAGCTGCTGCCTCTGTGAATATGTCAATTAGCTGCTGATAGCGGTAGTAAATTCGGAGGAAGAAACATGCTCACCGAGGGAAGGTTCTTTGGATGCGATGGCCTGAAGTGGCGTGACAAATACAGGCTCGAGGTCGGCAACACGGGCCATAGTAGTGCCCTGTGGCAGTAAGATCTTCTCCGGTGTAGAGTTGTCACCGGTGACAAGTGCAGAGCCATTGCAAAAACGAACGACGCCGGACGGAAGAACTATACCTTTACGAACGCAAAGTGGTGACGGGGAGACCAATACATCACCATGATAAATGCCATTGAACGTAATGCTGACAATTTGCTCTTGTAGTGGAGGCAGATCGATGTCTTTCGCAGCGACCAGACGAAGTGGCTTGTGATTGTCGTCGTCAAGCATGTAGTCGGTGTCAGCGAGGTGAACGACACGTTGTCCACAACAAATCGCTGCGGAAGCGGATGATAGAAAATCCACCCTAAAATTAGTTGCTGAGAGCAGCGGGACAGGACAGCAAACTGGACATCATGGCGGATGCCGTCGATGAACACACGCACAGTACAAAACGCGGAAGGGCGAATGACATTCCCCTGGATAGCAACTAACGTGGGGCCATCGTAAGGCGTCATTACTTTCCTTAAATGTTCACACAAATCAGCACACATCACAGACAATGTCACACCTGTGTCCACCAAAGCATCGACTCGCACTCCTTCCACTTCCACAGAAAGCGTGTTACACGGGCCTGATGGAGGAATTTCAGTTCTAAGTCCGAATGCAGTTTTTCCTCCACAAACTGCATCACTTAGTTTCCCGAATGAATATCAGATGAGAATGAGGCGGGCCGAAGTGGAGAAGTTGAACGGCGGAAAGGCGAAGGCGAGCGGCGTCTCGTGTTTCGGCTGTTTCGTGGTGCAGTCGTTGCCGGAGGAGATGGAGACCGGTGTGGGGGAGACGAATTACGCCGACCTTGATAAGACACCCCAGTGTACGAATCCCGTTCGCGCACGTCGTTCCGACGCTCATCTTGCTGGCGCTTTCGGCAGAAACGAGATATGTGGCCGCGATAGCCACAGCACTAGCATACAGGGCGAGACGAGCGCCACTGTGGGGAATAGAAGGCATTCGGTGCACCTGAAGATAGTGTGGTCAGGTGGGCCGGAGAGTCAGGGAGCACGGAATGGTAGTTTACCGGGGGAGTGGCAGCAACTGATGCGTAGGATGGACGCAGCAATGTATCGTGGGCGTCGCTGGGAGGCACGGCAGCAACTTCAGGGTACGTGGGCATGGGGCGTGAAGCAGGTGGCTGTATGGGCGCAACGCCGGTCAGCGATGTAAGTTCCTCCCTGACGATGTCACGCAAGGGCACTCCAGAAGAGTGTAGAGGACGCGGTGTAGGAGGTGTGAAGCCTATAGACCGCAATTCTTCACATATAATGTCCCGGATGAGGTCACGCAGGTGGCCATAAGACGTAGAGTGGTGGCCGTCAATGTCTGGTTGGAGGCGAAGAGAGTCCAGCGTATCAAGGCGCTGGCATGTCGTCACGACATCAGCGATGGTAGCTGGGTTTTGGAGAGCAAGTGCATTAAAGGCAACAGGCCCAATGCCTTTCAATATGTGGCGCACTTTGTCCGATTTCGGCATGGATTGATTTACACGCCGGCACAGTGCGAGGGCATCCTCGATGTATGAAGTGTACGATTCACCAGGATGTTGTCGGCGAGTATCAAGTGTCCTCTTCGCGACGGTGGATCGAATGTCCGGGGTCCCAAAAACGTGTCGCAGCTGCTGCTGGAAGGTAGCCCAGTCGTGTAGGTCAATGACGTGGTTAAAATACCACGTCTTTGCGACTCCGGTCAGATAAAAAGGAACGTAACGCAGTTTGGCGGCCTCGTCCCACCGATTAGCGACACTTACGCAGTCGTAGTCGTCGAGCCAGTCTTCTACGTCTTCTCCACGAAGACCAGCGAAGAGCGGGGGTTCCCGCTGATGTCCGTGTATGTAAATAGGAGGGGCAGCTTGCGTCGGTGCACGCGTGGTTGATGAGATCAGCTCCGATAGGCTCGGTCTGGGACATGCTGCCTGAGAGTGGGCGCAATCGGTGGCCTGAACGAAGCTCCAGCGGGTAGAGCGGGCTGCGGGAGGTAAGAGGACCGAAAATCCCCCTCCACCACGTATTAAGTCTTGGTAGTCTTGATTGCGACAGCGTTTATTTGAGGAAAGACTTTTCAAAACAAACGGGCAGAGCCAGTACACAGACGGTGACGATGATGATGACCCAGAGTGGCAATGAGCACAAAAAGACAAGCGGATGATGGTGATTGGGATCATGCAGGAATGAGGACGATGTAAGTAACAAATGCCCACAATATATATATATATATATATATATATATATATATATATATATATATATATATATTGTAAGGCAACGTTTTGGCTGCAAGACACTACTTTAACTTGCCGAGCCTCTGCCCCACAACACACGTCAGACTGATGATGATGAATATGTACATATCTCTTTATTGACGAGACAATAAAATACTTGAAAAAACATTTATTTTCTACAAATTTACAATTGTTGCAACAAGACTAAGCATATTTCATAAAAAGAAAAAAAAATTCTGCGTATAGTTTCTAAAATACAGCTTTGTTGCCTGTGGGCAACAGTAGGCACGAGCCCTAAGGTAGGCTTCACTGCGTGCTTCTTACGGGTTAGTGTGGAATTTGTGCATGCACTCCTTCCCTGGAGTGAAACAAAGGTGTACGTTGCACTTCCTGCACATGACTCGCGTGATTCCTGTGCAGTTTGGGTATTTACAACGGCCTTTTTTTGCAGAAAACATCGGGAGATGGTCGATAGTGTCGAGTCTTATCTCCTTGCATGGAACAGGAGCTGATGGCCCGCGCCGCTTCATCGCCTGCAATTCATTCTCGACTTTTGATGGGCCCAATGGTCACTTCCTCGAAGGGGTTGATACCTTTCCCTGTTGCCTCAGCGCGCAGGCAATGTCTGCTTTGAATGTTAGTAGGGTCATTTGGTGCTTGCAAGGCACGTTAGCCGCGGTGGCATCTCGGAGGTAGAGGAGCCAGCAGTTGACAACTACTACATCCAATAAATGAAAAAAGAGCCTCCTGTACACCTTTTTTGACCTTACGTGGATGCGGTAGAGTGCCACAAGCATGTCCAAAAGATCAACACCTCCCATGCATTCATTGTAGATGCCGATAATAGCAGGGCGGGGTACGCTCACAGTCGTTCGGGTCTTTTTGTCGAAGCGCTTCACGGCCGGCTCGGGTGACGCTGAAGCAAACGTGGACAGTAGAGTGACGAGGCGGTTGTTAAACCACTTGACAGCCCTCAGGCTCACCCCTTCAAATGTGGTCGCCATTTCCACGTAAGAGCCACGCCCTTTCTTCTTCAGATCTTTGTCGGATGGAAGTTTGCCTCCTTTTAGGCGAGCCTCGCGTACTGTCCCTACGGAACTGATTCCAACCTTCTTGAGGACTACTTGTAAGTCCACGCCACAAAACCAGTTGTCAAAATACAAGATGGAGTATAGACCGCGGGGCACGATACTCGAGAATGTCAGGAATGGTAAAAGAGTATCCCAGTTTTTGTGGTCGGGTTGGACGTAAACGGCTATCATGTCTGCAAGGGTTCGGTGAAATCTTTCTGTGAGACCATTTGTCTGAGGGTGGTAGCTTGAAGCTGTCTTGTAAGTATTTCCATAAGCGCGGAGTACTTCATTTATCATTTGTGACAGGAACACTTTGCCGCGATCACTAAGCAGTACACGAGGAGCCCCATGACGCAGTATTATTGCGTGAAAAATAAAGTCTGCAACTTCCACAGCTGAGCCTGTAATAACAGAGGAAGTCTCAGCGTATCGTGTCAGGTGGTCCACGGCGGTCACTATCCATCGTTTGCCAGCAGATCTGATGGGGAGAGGCCCGTAAAGGTCAACACCTACAACCTCGAAAGGCATTGACGGGCACGGAAGTTGCTGTAGAGGTCCAGCAGGTGCAGACGTGGGGAGTTTACGACGCTGGCATGGGTAGCAGGAACCGACGTACCGCGCTACACTAGAAGAAAGGCCAGGCCAGTAATAACGACATCGAATGCGGTCAAGAGTATTTTTTAAACCAAGATGACCAGCAGTCAAGTCGTCGTGGAAGGCTTCGAGCACCTGAAGTCGAAGAGAGCGTGGCAGTACAGGAACCCAGTGCTGACCGTCAGGGTGGTAGACGTGGCGGTAGAGAACCCCATTGTCCAGCTTATAGTGCAGGAGTTGACGACGGAGTGGCGCGTTTGGTGGATGAGAAACTCCCGAAAGGTGGTCCATCATGCGTCTGCAGTATGAATCGGACCGCTGGTGGGAGATAAATGTTGCCTGGTCGTCCGAAAAGGGTTGCGTTATTGATGCGAGCGTATGAACTTTGGTAGATGTGGCGTTTGAGTTCTCACCAACGCTGATATGGGTAGTTGGAAGCGGGCAACGAGATAAAGCATCGGCGTCTCGATGTTTTCTGCCTGACTTGTAAGTTATGTCAAAGTCGTACTCCTGCAAGCGTAGTATCCACCGACCCAAGCGTCCGGACAAGTTTTTCAGTGTAGAAAGCCAGCATAAGGCATGGTGGTCCGTACCGATTGTGAAGTGACGGCCGTGGAGATAGGGACGGAACTTCCACTTGCGCCGATGTCGGGAAAACCTTGCTGAGGAAGAATTTTGCCTGTGTAAACTTCTAAGTTGTACATTATGCCGCGTTTATTGCAGAGAAGGAAAAGCTTACAACCCCATTTTTTGGCCTTGTTGAGCAAATACTGCTTCAATGAGCTGCGGCCTTTGAACGGCACCAGCTGCTCATCAACGCATAGCTTTTGAGATTTTGGTATCTCGTGGCATTTGGCGACCAGGTGGTCCAACAGGGGCCGCACTTTGTAAAGCCTATCACGTTCGGGGTCATTCTGGTCTGGTGCTTCCTGGTTGTCACTAAAATGCAGTGACTGCTTGATTTCTTCCCACCTGTCTCTCGTCATGGTGTCGGCGACTTGACTGACTCGGAACCTCTGCGACCAGTACATGCGTGTTTGAGGCAGCTTTATAAGCGACATAGTGAGCACTGTACCAATGAACTGCTCTAAATCATTGACTGTCATTGAAGTAACTTTGTTGGGATTCCTCTGAGCGCTATACAGGGAGGACTGCTCACAGATGTGAGACAGGAATGTCACGTCAAAGCAGTTTCTCAAATAGTTGATGGGAGACTCCACCGGGGATGGGTAGGGTGGTACGTCTTTCCACTCACGCATGGCATTACTCGAAGAGCTTCGGACAGCCTTCCATGTGGGAGAATCTTTCGAAGGCTTGGGGATTTCTCCAAACGCATTGTCGATACTGCCCGCGCTTGGAGCTTCTGAGACCTCTTCATCCTCACTGTCAGTTTGCGGTGCTGTAAAAATTGCACAGAAAATGATTGCGATGTGAACAAAGTGCAAGAAAAAGCCAACAAAATTAAAAATAGTAATTACTCTCGTAAATTTCATCAGTACTCTCTGTTTTCAGTAAAATCTATTTTCTGCTAAAGAAAAAAGTTGCGGAAATACTGTTTTGCTAGCTGGCCTAAACAATGACACTGTTTAAATACACAGAGCCAGCCTGCTGCAAAGCGTAAACGGAATGCCAGACTATCCACGTCCCACGCAGAGCTGCCGATCTTGGGAACACCTAGAAGCGTCTGCTGTGAGAGATGCCGACAGCCTCAAGTGAAAGCGCCGGGCCACACAACCTTTTGTAATACAAGCAACCCCTTCCTTCACCTCATCCCGCTGCGCTTTATTATTCAAGAGACCGTACTTTATTCGTCAATCGAATGATAGCGTAGTTCCGACTGACACGACAAAATAAATACTTACTTGTCCGGGCTAAAACAGCGTTTTCAGGCTCTTCGTCGCTCGATGAATCCAGGTCAGAGTCATCACTCTAGACAGGGGGCACTTTTGCAGCAAATTTTCCATAAAATGCACCCGGGTCCATTCTTCGAAATCGTTGCTTTGTCTGCGTGTCCTGCGTGAGGTGGTGCAGCGATAATGGAAGCAGTGCGGGCAGAGGAGCGCGCTACCAGACAAAATCGCACAGCGCAATCTTAGCGGGATGAGAAACACAGCATTGTGCCTCGTGTTGCCTGTAGGCAACAAACACCTCACGCGCCCGTACGGGCCCAAATTAGCAGCGCCGTTTATATAATTTGACAACGAGGAAAGTGAGGCATTTTTCTAAGTCATTGCAAAAAGCCAGAGAGAGAACAACGAATGCTTACCCGGAAATAGATGTTCGAACGCTGAAGTCGCGTCGTAGAGCGCTCTGCAGAGATTTGCGCGCCAAACTTCTTTTTTCTCTTCGTCGGTTTCTTAGTGACAAATCAGGGGGTGCCACACATCCATGTGGAAGTAACATGGGGAGACTTTGAAGGGAAAAAGAAGCTCGCGAAACCGAAAGTGATCCAAAAAAATATTTTCCGCTATGTTGCCTGTGGGCAACGTTCGTCAATAAAGGGATATGATAAGATGACGCGTATGAATTATGCTCACACTTATTTCCCCCCCCCCCGCGTGAGCGGCCAGCCCGGACGCGTCTTAGACGGAAACGGAACGTCGAACGAATGGCTTCAGACGTGATACGTGGACAATCTCTGAACCACGACAGCGACGATCCGAAGAAAGGTCGGTGGGAGTGACACGATAGTTCACTGGGGACGTTTGTTTATTGATTGTATAGGGCCCAATGAAGCGTGACTGAAACTTGTCACACAATCCTGGAGTACGAATGGGCGTCCAAAGCAACACTTCATCCCCCGGACTGAATGAGACATCGCGGTGAGAGCTGTCGTAGCTTTGCTTGCGGTCTTGCTGATTGGCTTCTGTATTAAGGCGAGCCCGTTGCCGACATTCTTCGAGCCTTGTGATGAACTGCTCTGATACGGTTGCCGAGGCGTCGGTTGGCACATTTAGGAAGAGCCGTCGATGGTGAATGTCGGTGAACGGCCGTACACGAAGTAAAAAGGTGAGTAGCCAGTAGTTCTTTGAACAGCGGTGATATGGGCAAACGTCACAAAAAACAAAATGGTATCCCAGTTGTCGTGGTTTGGTGCGAAGTACATCGACAGCATGTCTGATAGTGTCCGATGAAATCTCTCTGTCAGCCCGTTAGCTTGGGGGCGGTAGGCTGACGTCGTCTTATGTACTGTGCCACAGGTTGTAAGCAGGGTTTCGATCATTGTGGACAGGAAAGTCTTGCCGCGATCACTCAGGAGAACGCGAGGTGCACCGTGACGCAATACAATGGCGTTGAGAAAGAAGTCTGTGACGTCTGAACCAGAACTTGTGCGTAGTGCAGCAGTCTTTGCGTACCTTGTCAGGTGGACGACAGCAGTCACAATCCAACGATTACCTGCTGGCGTGATGGGGAAAGGTCCAAGTAGGTTTAGGCCAACGATGCCAAAAAGAGTCTCGGGACACGGGATAGGTTGCAGAAGGCCAGCAGGAGACGAAGTTGGTCGCTTCCGCCGTTGACACAGCTGGCAAGATGCAACGTACTTGGCCACAAAGGTAGAGATGCCCGGCTCGAAGAAACGGTTACTGATGCGGCTTTGTGTTTTGTGAAATCCCAAGTGGCCTGCACATGGGTCGTCGTGAAAAGCTTCGAGGACTTGATGATGTAGAAAACGCGGAAGTACTGGAACCCAGCGGTGTCCATCAGTTGTGCAAACGTAACGATGAGCACATTGTTATCGAGCTTAAATTGCCGTAGTTGTCGCGGCACAATCGAGCATTAGGAGTAGGTGATATGCCATTTAGGCGTTGGATAATGCGATTGCAATATGAATCATCACGCTGGCGTGTGGGAACTCGGTGTAGCGATTTGAAACCGGCGTTTCGATAACCGCAAGGTGTGATAATGTGAGGGGTGACGCAGTGCCTTGCCCACCAGACGAGCGATCAGCTGACGTACTTGATGATGACAGTAGAAGGGGGCAGCGAGAGAGAGCATCTGCATCTTGGTGTCTTTTGCCAGACTTATAGATGACGTCAAAATCGTACTCTTGCAGGCGGAGCACCCAACGAATGAGGCAACCAGACAAGTTTTTCAGTGTCGATAGCCAGCACAAGGCGTGGTGGTCTGTAATCACTGTGAAGTGGCGTCCGTAAAGATACGGTCAAAATTTTTGTATGACCCAAACGACAGCGAGGCACTCCTGCTCAGTTATGGAGTAGTTCTGTTCAGCAGCCATAAGAGCACGACTAGCATATGCTATAACTCTTTCCCGTGAAGTGGCATCCCGCTGTAGAAAAACTGCACCACTACCATGGCCGCTAGCGTCGGTGTGCAGACATGTAGGTGCGTTCTCATCGAAATGGCACAGAACAGGGTCAGACGTTAAAGCATTCTCGAGGGCTTGAAAGGCACGCTCACAGTCGTCGTTCCAAGCGAAAGTTGATCCGGATGTTAGCAGCTTGTGCAGTGGCGACGCGATGGCAGCAAAACGACTAATGAAGCGGCGGAAGTAGGATACCAGGCCCAGGAAACTTCGTAGGTGTTTCTCGATTTCTGGCCGAGGGAAGCGTATCACGGCAGCAAGCTTCTCAGGATCTGGACGAACGCCCTCTTTGCTGACAAGGTGGCCCAACACTTTGATGTTCTTGTTGGCGAAACAGCACTTTTTGTGTTTAGCTGAAGTCCAGCACTGAAAATACACGTCAAAACTTCGTCCAAACAATCAAGATGCTGACGAAAAGAAAAGGAGAAAATGACGATGTCATCTAGATAACAGAGACATGTTTTCCATTTTAGACCGCGTAGAACTGTGTCCATCATGCGTTCAAACGTGGCAGGAGCGTTACATAAACAGAATGGCATGACGTCTAATTCGAACAGCCCGTCTGGTGTTGCAAAGGCAGTTTTTTCTTTGTCCGCTTCGTGCATAGGTATTTGCAAATAACCAGACCGTAAATCGAGGCTGAAGAAACATTCAGCGCCTTGCAGAGAGTCAAGTGCGTCGCCAACTCGTGGCATCGCGTAGACGTGTTTGCGTGTGATCTTATTAAGTGTTCGATAATTGACGCAGAATCGCACCGAACCATCCTTCTTTCGGACTAGCACAACAAATGATGACCACGAGCTGGACGAAGGCCGGATAACATCTCGTTTGAGCATATCAGCAACGTTGTCCTCGATGATTTTCCGCTCTGCGGAGGACACTCGATATGGGCGGCGGCGTACGATTGTATTGCCGTCAGTTTCAATTCTATGCATGGTGACAGAAGTGCGACCCAGAAGCTTGAAATATACATCAAATGAAGCGCTGTGTTTTTGAAGCACACCCAAAAGTTCTTGCTTTTGCACTGACGTGAGATCGGTATTTATTGTGGCTTTTAAAGCAGCCATTGTAGCCTGGTCATCAGTACTCGTACAGAAAGATGGCGAGTCTCCGTGAAGGGGCACCAGAGAAAGTGGTTCGGTATCTGTGAAGCAAACCACACTGGTGCCCTGGGGCAGTGCAACAGGCAATGAAGTGGGGTTAACTGCCGTAACTAAAGCTCTGCCATCACGAAAGTGCACCAGACTAGGAGCGATGATAATTCCACCAGAGATGTAACATCCACACGGTGCTAGGAACACTTCACCAGTATCGATCTTATCTGATGTCAGGGTCAGAATATGCTCATTACCTGGAGGAATAAAACAGTCATCTGCGGGGACGAAACGCTGGCTATGGGCATAGTTATCAAACAAAAGCACAGTATCTGATATGTGAATGACCCTCTGACGGCAAGATATCACGGATGAAGCTGAGGAGAGAATGTCCCACCCTAAAATGAGCGCATTGGTACACGATGTGAGAACAAGGAACTGTATATGGTGAAGGATGCCCTCAATAAAGACTCGTACCGTGCAAACACAAGAAGGGTGAACAAAAACCGCATTAACACAGCGAGGGGAGGGACATCATACGGTGTCTTCACTTTGCGCAAACGGGTACACAAGTCCACACTAATAACTGAGAGCGATGCACCTGTGTCCACCAAGGCTTCAGTCCATATACCCTCAACACACACTGAAAGTACATTTGAGGGGCGTTCCGGAGGAGTTCGATGCAGTCCGCCAAATGCCGCTTTCCCTCCTGAAGCTGCACTGTTTAGTTTTCCGGGCGATGATCAGACGCTGTGGAAGCCGGACGAAGTGGTGACGAGGAACGGCGCATAGGTGACGGGGAGGGACAGCGCGAGAAGCGGAAGGTACTGGCTGCATCGAAGTGCTGTAGAGAGGGTGAGCGGCGTCGGTAAAGTTGGTATGGGTGACGATGTTGTGGAGAGGGGGCAAACTCATTCCTCTCGTAGTCACCGTAGCCACGCCTTTCGTCTTGTTGACGTCGACGACAGAACCATGATATGTGACCGCGTATTCCGCAATAATAGCAAATAGGTCGAGATGGGCGCCAGGCTTGTTCCTCCCTCACAGTGTTGCGGAGGCTGCCTGTAGAAGGCGTCATGCGGAGCTCATAAGATGACGAGGTGGCTTGGAGTTGCAGCTCCTCGCGGACGCACGGAGCTCACCACACATCAACGCACGGAGCTCACCGTCATGCGTTGGCCTGATATCTGCTGTTTCAGGTTGCAAACGTATAAGTTGAAAGTCATCGAGTCGCTGACCCCTACTGATGATGTCAGCGACCATGGTCGGGCTCCTTGCCGCCAGAGCGTTAAATGCGACGGCACCTATGCCCTTGAGCAAGTGGCAAACGCGGTCATGCTCCGCCATCGAGCTGTCGACGCTACGGCATAGGGCAAGAACATCTTCAATGTATGAAGTATAGGACTCGCCGGAGTGCTGGACACGTTCAGCAAGCTTCCGTTTGGCGATGTCTGCACGTACAGAAGGGTTGGCAAATATGTGACGGAGCTGCTGCTTAAAAGTAGGCCAGT